CAGGTGCAAAGGAAGCACATGCTGTTTCCCCCCATTTTGCACAGGTTCTGTATTTCAGCTTGGTATCTGCCCTTTTTATGGCACCCGTCCACTTCTCTCCAGTGCAATTCTTACAGATAGCTCAGTCATTCTGGAGGAGTCATAATAAACTGATTAGCCTCTCTAAATTGTCACTGGCCTTGACTGCTGGTTTCATATCGGTGCATTTTTTTAGGTATGAAATAAGAACTGTGTACATGTGAAAATTAATGTTGTAAAAAAAATTATGCTTATTTGACAAATAAAAGGCATATTTGGTTACTACTATACAAGATATGACAAACACAACATAAATGTGTAATCATTGTGACATACTGACCTATACTTAATGGATGTTGCAGCATTGCTCATCCCTATCTCCTGGCCGATAATCGCCACTATACCTTTTATCTTTGGAGGAAAGTCGTAAATCGCCACTGGTTGATGAAGTACCTTCTTGTTCCGGTTTCCACGTATCTGTGGCTTTCCATCTTCAGTATCTTAGGTCAGCTTTTGCTCTATACAAAGCATAATTACTTTTCAAAATTTTTTGATTAAATTGAAAATATTTGGTGGTAAAATGTTAATCACATTAAATTCATCATTTATTTTTTTAAATTGCAGCAGAAAGACAGAAAAGGCTATGGGTGGTGGCATACTTCTTAGCAACTGCAGCTACCCTTATCCCTGCTCCACTCATAGAGTTCAGATACTTTACCATTCCATTCTTCTTTCTGATTCTCCATTCCCATGTTAACGACGACAGAAGTTGGTTCGTGATGGGACTAATGTACGCTGCTGTTAACTGCTTTACTATGTTCATGTTCTTGTTTCGGCCATTCTCTTGGACTCCCCGTGAAACTGGGGTCCAACGGTTCATATGGTAAGCATTTCTTAAAACAAATTACCGAGTGCATTACCAAAAGAAGATAGTGTATGTGTTTTTTTACAGAGTACTTTTAGTTTGAAAAAACTTTTTACTGCCTTTGCCCCTTTGTTTTACTCCGAATTATCTACAGATTCTGCTGAAGTATCTAGCTAAGGGGGCAGTTATTTGTATTATCAATTGTTTGCAGCTTACATTAAAATTGAGAACATCTTCAAAAATTTGAAATGAGTAGTAACATTAAATACCGTATGCAAAAGGATAATATGAAAACAAGATACAGCAAAACTTCAATGAACCTGTGAAACAATAGTTGCTTAAAGATGACCAGATCACGATTAATAAAATTGTCGGAAACAAGATGCTTCATTTGAGAGTGAAAAACTAAATTTTTGCATAGGTATTATGCACATAGCATTGAGATTATCATAAGGCGCGGAGCAGGTAGCTCGCGAGCCTACACGTAGCTCGCGTAAGAGATTTTGAACCCGAGCTAGTTAACCCACAACATTGGAAAGCGCTCAATATTTAGTCTAAGTGAACGATTTAGAAAACCTGTTCGAGGGCATCTGAATAGGAGGTGGTAGGAGCATGCATATATTGAGAGGTGATTAACAACAAAAGATGTATTAGATCCGTTAAGAGAGATGTATTGTAACTGACCGAGCACCCGATAAAATGACATGGCATCGGTATGAGGAGCTGCCATGTGAGATGCATTAAGATCATGTATCATCATCGGTGTGGAGTTGCCAGTCGCATTTGCCATGTCAATGCTACAAGGATGTTGGAAATATACAGTCTAAGACATACTTGGTCCGTCCCTGAGTGTTTGTCCACTTTTGATTTTTGGAACTGTTCATCTAAGTACTTTGACTCATCAAATTCTCTCAATGTGTAAGCCTAAAAATAGTCATGTGTGATCTTGTTTGATTCGTCTTAACATATAGATTATTAATATATAATTTTTATAATTTTTTAATATACAAATTACAAGATAAAATGGATTAAAGAAGTACATTGGATGGTGTGCAAAAATGAAAGTGGACAAACACTCAGGGACGGAGGGAGTACATCAATACATGCATAGGAATAACCTCAACACTCAAAAAGTGACTCAATAATCTAAATTTTTGTTTAAAGAAAATCTATGTGATAAGTTCTCAACAAAAGAATTAATAAACCGAGAAGAATTTTTTGTAACACATGATCTTTGGCATACACAAAGAAAGAGGAGTTAGTTTGCGACTTGCAGAAACCTATGGCAAGTAAGAAACTAGACAACAAATCATATCAAACCGTGGAGCCTGTTTGAGCTCATAAATAGCCTTAGACAACAACATACATAGGAAAATCCGAATGAACCTTGTGCTTGATTCATAAAAACCTATTTAAAGAGCTTGCCAATAAGAAAAGCATTATCAATATTTTGTTTCTGCAAAGACCATTTGTGAGCAAGAGCAATACCAAGAACAAACCAAATCTTAAAAAGTTTCATAACTGCTAATGTTTCAAAATAAGCACGACCAGCTTCTTGTAAATATCCCTTTTCCACCTACTGCCAGGCTAGTTGATAGAAGAAGACAATCGAGAGAAGGGAAGATAAAATAAGGAAAAAATACTCATAAAACTCTGATATTGTATAGAGTGTATCAAACGAAGTGATAGTTGTATCATTGATGGAAGAATCTTTAAATAGATATAGAGGAAGAGTTTGAGTAAAGGACTTACTAATCTAAGATAATAACAACATTAAATAAACTTATACAAACAAATTAAATCAAAACAAGATACAATGAATCTAGATAAATATACAATACATAAAATCCTTATCTTTTATATCTTCAAAGTTGAACACATCTCCCCTAAAAATATCTAAAACTTGAGACGAAGTCAAGTAACACCAAACCATCGACCTACTCCCTCAATTCGACAACTGTCAATTAACATTTTCTAGATATATTAAAAATTAAATGACTGTAGATATACTTTATATCTATATTCATTCACTTTTCAATGTATCTAAAAAGTCATAATGAACATAATATGGATTTATGGAATGAAGTAAGTATAAAGTTGGGCATCACTTTTGAATCACACATGTAAGAGTTGACTTGTTGGTCAACTCTAAAAATGCAATAGGGAGATTAACGGATTAGCGTAATAATACGAGCAATAAGCCAATAATCCATGGCCTGGACGCGCAGAAATGGTCAAATGAGAATTATGCTCTTATATTTGACTACTATTAATACCTCCTTTTCACCATTCGCCTTCCGCGCTTCGACCCGCGCTGCCCGAAATTCCCTATTCAAATCTTTGACAATTTGTGTTCTTGTTCCGACGACACTTAAATTTTCCCGGCGTCTCCAAATAAATTTTGAATTTTCTATTTAAGATCTAAAATACATTTTAAATTTCTTTATTTTTCAATTAGTGAAAAGAATATAAACCTTATAAAATCTCTTTTTCGTCTAGCAAAAACTATAACTACACATTTTCTTTTACTTTTATGAATTTTGTGAAACCAAAATGTAAATTTCATATCAAGAAGAAAGGTTTATTATTAAAATTTACCTAAATAGGACTAAAATATAATGACTTTTCCAATATAGGACCATATGTTTTTATTTCCCAATGTAGGACCTTTGATCATTATGAAGTAGTCATTATTCAAGTAAATGTCCATCATTACTAGACATTATTCCTCCCACTAGGTCATTATTAAGTTATATTTAGAGAATAAAAAAATTTAAGTCCTACATTAGGAAATTTATTATGTTTTAGTCCTATTTAGTGCAAATCTCACTATTATTAATTGAGTAAAAATATTGAGTAATTAGACATTGTTTGGAAAAAGCAATTTTACTAGTGTTTGCGTTAGGAAAGCAATTATAATGGTGCTAATGATTTTGAAAACATTAAAGCTAAAAGCTACTGCTATTTAGTGTTTTTAAGTCGCTAGCTAGCTCTAGTCTCTAACTTTATTCTAAAAGTAAACGTTGTTGTTATAGTGTTTTAAGAAAAAACTCTAACATACAATGTTATTGTCAAACAAGACATTTGTTAGTAGGACTATTATTTTTATCCGTAAGGATTATCACCTCATAACATCATATACTTCTTCATTCCTGCCCTAAATCCTATGGTCCAACTCCCACACTTTGCTGCCAATAGGCGAATTGGGGATGGGGACAGAAGTGGGAGGAGAGGGAGTTTGGGAGGATTTAGGTGCATGAATCATTAATTTTAGGAACGAGACACCCTAGGAGAACCACTCCCTATTTTAATCGTAGGGAGATTCATTTCTTTAGTGCTAATAGTACAATAATCTAGTCGAGTAAGAAATGGAAACAAAAGTCAAATATATAACTATCATACTATGAAATCGTAAACCAGCTATTTTTGCCTAGCATTTTTTACCCTGCTTTAGTTTACCATTTTTTACCTAGATGTGACAGTATGGTTTGGCCATGTTTGACATTGGTGGTTAAGTGATTGCATTAGGTAATTGCCATGAAATGGTTGTGTAATTTGTTTCAATCACTTGGTTTATAGTGGCGCATTTAAATGCATAGAGTTTTCATTTTTTTTACACAAACAATTTGACTAAATACCAAAATTTGGCATCATGTATTTCACAGAGACACACAAAAATATTTAGTACGAAGTATCAAATTTGGTGTGGCTATAGATTTAACCACAACGCCCCTTAACCTTTACAATCTGTTTGGTTCAAAGAATTTGAAGGAAATTAAAATAAAAGAAAATAAGATGAAAAATATTTTTTCTGGTTTGGTTAAAAAAGGAAAGGAAAAGATAGTTGGAAAGAAAAAAAATTAAAGACAAAACAAATTAAGAAGAGGGAAAACAAAATTATATTCCTACCATTTTGGCAAGGAAAATTAGAAAAAAAAACTTCTTTTGTTTTCTTTTCCATCTAAATCTTTAAACCAAACATAGTGTTAGTAGTTTTACTGGAAATATACTAGTCATAGTGTTTGAAATAGCCAACAATGAGGAACATATAGAACACCACCAGTGAGTTCACTGAATTGGCTAATTCAGCTACAAAGATTTGTATTCTGTGTATATCTCTTTATACAAAGTTTTCTTTTTCAGTGTTGTGTATAATGTAACACATTTGAGCAAAAAAGGGGGTGATTCTCAAAGTACATACACTCCCCAAACCAACAAACTACTGTGAAAACTACTTGCAAAAATGGGGCCTATTTTTTTCATGGAAAATATCTCCTAAATTTTATAAACCCTAATGTGGCATAATTACATCGACGATTGCCATAGCTTTCCTTCGAAAGAAATAACAATGATGGAGACGTCGTCGTGGTACATTCTGCGTTCCCCTTGTGGTACATCCAGCAGTTCATGGAAGTCCATCCCGGCTTGCTTTGCTGCTCTGAACACGACTTCTTCAACCAGATGCTGCGCAGGGTCCCCATCTGGGAATATGGCCATGAACGTCTCGACCTCAGACACGGCTTCACTGTTGGTGAAGTATTGGTAGAGCCCATCTGATGACAAGATCAAGAACTTGTCCCTTGGGCATAGCTTGTGGTGGTGAAGTGATGGGGTGCAGCTTATGTAGGGAGAGTTGCCTTTGTACTCCACTCGGAATGCCTCAAGAACCGCATCGTTCCATTTGCGCTGTCAAATGCAAAGAAGATTGTGCCATTTTAGGTGCATAAATTGTAATAATGTGAGTGAAATTTTTCGCGCGAGTTGTTCGTTCGTTTTGTGACGTACGTGTTTGAGATAGGCTGCCCCGAAAGCCCGAGTCACTTTTAACGATCCTTTCACCCTGTCGTTCTTGATTGCTGACGAATCGTTCGCGTGTTCCCTCTTGATTCTCTTCACTTCCTGCATGATTTTTAAGGTTGTCAGATACAGACATGCAGTTTTAAGTTTGAGTTTTTGGTTGAGTTTCTGGCACACACCTCTTTTGAAGAAGTGGTGTGGTCGACCGTGAGTTGATGAGAAACCAGGGTGTGTTTGAGGTCCGACATGGTTTTGTAAAGGTCGTGGCTCGCCCTTGGCCTTCCATTCCCGTGGCATTCATGGGGTACCCGGGCCAACACCACCCTGCTGTCGCCAACATTCATCAAGAACACATCTTGGCCCTTCATCAGCATTGCCAAGACACAGGACCCCATTAATGCCAGTTCTGGGTTCTCATTCAGCATCAGGTCCGTTATGTTCAAATAGTCCGCCTCTGTTTTCTTCAACCCTTCGGCCATGGCGTTCAACACGTCGGCTGACTCTCCCTTGAGCTCTCTGAACACGTTTGTGTACAGGTTTTGCAGCAGAAAGTCGGTGGCATCTGGGCCGTTGAAGCCATCGTAGATTCCGACGAAAACCAGATCGTGTTCCTCGGAGATCACGACATGGACTCTGTCTTCTCCGGCTTTGCCCTGTGCCCATTGAACGGTTTCGCCCCGGGACGCCGGCGACGCCATTCCTGAATCGCCGTCATCTTCATCGCCGGTTTGGCTTCTCGGGGTGTCGATTCCGTAGCGATTCTTGGTTTCTTTTTCTAATTTGAGATCTATGGGTATAATTTTCTTTAAATTCCGGAAGAAATTCCATTTCTTGGATTTGGGTTTGTGCCTGTGGGCGGCCTGATCGTATTGCGTCTCGGGAATCGGAGCGGATAAGAACCCGCCGGAAATCGGACCCGACCCGATTCCTGAAACGCGGTGAAGGGGGCTGGACCGGGGGACTGGCTGCAGGGGAATTGAGGAAAAGAGCCGCGAACTCTCGAAAGCTGAGGCCTTTTCGATGCCGAGGTCGAAGAGCGCGGTGGAGAGAGGAGTGGAGGTGTTGGCGGAGATGGAGGCGCCGGAGATTGTGTAGAACGCCGTCGTCATGGAGCTGGCGGTAGTGGTGGTGGAAGAGCAGGAGTCGTTGGAGAAGATATGAGTCCTTGAAGACGTGTCGGGCTTCATGTATACGAATGAATGGCCAAGCCCTTCATCCAGAGTGTCCGACAGATCAGCGCCGGCGATGTCTTTCCGCTGGCGAGAGCTCTCCTCACAGTCTCCGGCGAAGCAGAGGTTCAATTTCATCAACCCGTTGCCCATTTTTTTATTCAAGAATCGAAAGGAAAAACAAAAACAAAAACAAAAACAAAAAAATCTTTGGGGGTATAGAAATATTGGGATAAATGAATTAAATTCGAATTAAATTCTACTGCTACTACTACTAATTAAGAATGCATCAGTGGAAATGGAAGACCAACAAGAATGACAGGGAGAGGAGTTGACTTTTGGAATTTGCCGAAAATAAAAAAAGAATAAAAATAATGGTCTAAATTCAAATTGCTTTTACTTTTGGTAATTAGTTTTGGGTTGTTTTCAGGGGAGTTGACTCTGAGATAAGTTTTTGGGCGAAGAAACGTAGCAGCAGGGCTGTCTTATCAAAAGTCAACCGCCCAACTATTACTGTAGAAATGTGAATGTGTCTATTTACTCCCTCCGTCGGATATAGTAAATGCACCGGATCCGTCGGACGGGATTAAATTTTTAAAAAGTCAACTCATGTATTTATAACTTATAACTTTATAAGTGTGTGTAGTATGTGAGAATATGTGTTAAGCATGTTGAGATGAAGATCTCTAGAGTCTAGGCATGTCGATGGATAAACGGAAATCTGATTAATGTCTGCATTCGTATCTGTTTAAACAAAAATAATCTGCATCCATTTTAGGAAGACCACCTTCGCAGCAGGTCACGCTCGGCCCCGGCAGGGTTGGTTGGCCTCGGACCACCCTCGGCCGGCCTTCCATCAAAGGGCTTCAGGAAGCAGATCGTGCGCACTCGGCTTCGGTCCAAGTCGTCAGCAGACCAGACCCATACATGGGAGCTGCCTAATTAGTCAAGATCAAGGGGCCCACGATTGGACCCCTGCCATACCTCTGGCAGAGTTGTTCTAGCCACCCTATTTGTAACCTATTTTGTATAGCAACCCTAGGAATAATGATGTGGTTAGGCGTCGCCAGTGAACAACCCAATCTTTGTGGGCCTGAACCGTTGGAATTCGGACCAACGGTTGGGAACCCTCTGTTGTAATTCACATATAAGGTTTTCCTTGAGGGAGGGGGAGGTCACGTTCTCACTAACACAATAATACTTGCAATCTACTTGATTCCCAACTGGTGCACTCCCGACTCAGTTCAATACTCTTCCGCCTAGTCTCCTAGGCCCCTGGTTCCTTAACCCAACAGTATGCTTTGAAACATCACCCCTTATACTTTCAAAATAACTCTTTTAAAGAAATAACAAATACTCATAATCTTAAGGATAGAGGGATACTTGTAAAAAGATTTTCAATAAAGTACTTAAAAATTGATTGATCTTAAAAACTATTAACAAATTGTGAATTTATCCTAAATCCATCAAACTATACTTCCAAAAGTTCAGAGTAAAAATAGAAGATTGACAAAAGAGTTAAAATTTTCTAATTTTTATGGGTGATAGCTAAAAATTAATTAATCAAACAAATAAAGTTGATGACTATTTTATAAAAAAATTCTTACAAATATATAGATAAAATAATTCCTAAGAATATCATTTAGACCAGAAACTCTCACCTCCTCACAGTTAAAGGAAACTGCATCGTCGTGGTTAAAAAAGTGTTTTGGAAATAAAGTTAATAGTTGAAATGTTCGCATGCAATTACTAGGTTGTCCTCACACTTAAATGATTCAACTGTGAAGATTGAAATAGTTTTTAATCATAAAGAGTAATAGCATATAAAAGAGTCTTAACCAGGATTTCCATATAAAATCAAATTTAGATCACCAAAATCATGTTCAGAATAGTAGAGATTAATGTTGGAAAAAGAGAATTTACTGAGAGGAATGAGAGCCAATGTCTTCTTAGTAGCCCATTTCAACCAAGACTGGTGGATCATGAAGCATTGGAGGTTGCAAAAACTTTGTGTTTTCCAGGTACGGAAGTACTTCTTCACTTCCTGCAAGGTATATATGCCCTGCGGTTCTCCTATCTGCAATAACAAAGAAAATAATTTCAGGATCCTTGACTCATCCCTGCGACTTGGTGGCAACATGATATAGGGAGGAGACTCTGGTTGGATGGGTGGTGGCGAGAGTCTCTTTGGCAGGTCTACATCTTTGGCCTTAATTGCAAAATTAAACCTTTCCTTGTCTTTAATGGGCTGACTATCTTATTGTGTCTTAATGATTACGACATATCATACCCCTGACATCTCTTACCCCTTTGAAAGAGTCCTTAGTGTCACTCATCAGAAGTTTATCCTGACTTATTTGGCTATAACTATCCTCCAGACAAACATAGTCACACCCTCAAATAGGGAGTCAAAGAAAGTTTGGTTTGAAACTTCTGGTGAGGCTTTCTTTGCACAAGTTCTTATAGACGGAGTTGGTTCGTCTGTGCAAAGTACTTCCTCGTCTATAGTTTCCTCTTCGGACTCTTTGGTGTTAGAATATTGGGGGTAGGTTGGGGGCTGTATTTCCTCCATAATAAGTTCCTCTAGAGGCGTGTCTTCAACACCGTTAAGAAAAGGAAAGTCTATTGCCACAGGCTTAACTTCCTCTTCCTTTCCTTCTTCGGTTTGGATGGTCTATGTGGATCTTAGTCAGGTCCCTTAGTCGGTTCCACCTCATGTACGACATGGCTTAGAGGGTATTCGGGTAACATCACCACAGTAGCCCTAGCGAGCATTTAAAGAGTCAAGCTATATTTGGGTTTCTGTGATGGTGGTGGTTTTGGTGAATCTTCGAGAATAGGTTCTGAATTCATTTCAACTTCTTGAACTGTTTTATGAGGCTTCAACATTCTCAGTTGCTCCATCTCTTCTCGGGTTTGGAGGTTAAATTTTTCTTGTGCTTCTATGAAATTGAGTTTGTTTGATTTCAGAAGGATATGAAGATCCAAGTGTCCTCTCCAAAATTCAGGAGAAAGGTCATCATACCGATCATATGCGGGGCTTGACAAATACATTCTGTATTTCTAATAACCGATCAAGTTCCCTTACCTCATTTTCTTTTTCATAAAAGTCCTCCGCTTCCCTTTGGCGTTGGGCTCTTTGTTCTCGGAGTTGGGCAATTCGGTTGAATCTCCAATTGATGAGTCTCTTGTTCCATTCAAGCTTTTTCGTCAGCTTTCCTCGTCGCCCCTCTGCCATTGATGGCCACCTTCACTATTCTCACAATGATACGAGATCGTAACGACAAGGGACGAAAGATCAAAAAATCAGAAAAGAATCTGAGGAAATTAAGAAGAGAGAAAGAAGAGAACTATCGTGCCACAGAGAAGTAAGAAGATAGATGTAAGGTTGGGAAAAATTATAAATCTTCATTCAGAATCATCTAAGGAGGGATTGCATCTCTATGTATAGAATCCTATAGATGGAGATAACAATTCAATTTAAATTACAAAAATTTATAATTAATAAAATCAAACTTATTAATAAATATTAATAAATAAGTAATTAAATAACTGCCAAGGACCTTCTAGTCCAATGGTAACCTTATGACTTTGATCTCTCAAATAATAGGTCATGTGTTCGATCTCCGATGAGGGCAATAATTTTATGGGTTTCAATAGGTTTAGAATGTATAGACAATTAGACACCATATTTTGGTCTTAAAAGACTTATGAGTCTTATTTTGATATTTTCATTGTTTTTTACTCCTATCTAGAGAGTTTTTCCTATGTTGCGAACACTTTCATCGTGCCACCAACGCATGTCGATGGCACATCCAATTCATGTTATTCTATTTCGAAAAAAGACTAAAGTATGAATAAGATATAGAAAATATACCAAAATAAAAATTTCATGTTTTTTTCAAAAATAAGAGTTAAAAAAGAAATCACCAAAAATATGAGTAAAACATAGAGAAAATACTAAAATAGGAGTTCCATGTTTTATTCTTAAATTGGAGTTAATTCGCATTGTAATAAGAAAATAAAAAAATTAAAATATAGGATAATAATAATAAAAATAGTAATAAAAATTAAAATTATAAAAAAAAATGAAAGAATAAAGAAAAAACGCTGATAATAATATTTTTTATAATAGATAACAAATATAAATTTAAAAATGAAAAATATAAATAATATATTGAAAATAAAACATTCCGTTCCTCTCCGAATAAAAAAAGGTAAAGGGGACCCTTCCCTTCCCTTCCCTTCCTATTTCCTTCCATCCATTCCTTCCCCTCCCTTCCAACCAAACATACCCTAAGAGGTGAGAGGAGTGAGAGGTCGAGACTTATACTTGTATGGGATTTGAGATAAATTAGAGGGTTATATAATATATCGGTCTGTCGGTTTAGACCGATTGGTAATCATGTTTGGACCAGATCAACTGAAACCTGAAATCATGAATATTTCACACCGAAGACCGACCCTAAATCAAATCAGTCTAAATTCGGTCTAGCCCTAACGATCTGATACAGTTAGTTTTTTTTGGTCCAGACCTAAATATGAACACTCCTATCCTTTACATTGTACTCTTGCATATTTGATACTTGTGCATTAGTAAAAATGAAATGTTGTACATTTTCCAATAAAGCTCTTTTGAATGAAAAATGAATACCAATATTCTACTTCCTTTGTCCCTTAAAGTTCTTTCTATTTTGACTTTTAGAATAATTAAGAGAGAGATATTTTTGTGTTGACATTCCAAAAATAGCTTTGATGTGATGACTAAAAGTAGGATGTGATTGATAGATTACTAGTAAAAAAAGTATGATACGATAGGTAAGGTAAGAATTAGTAGAGATAAAAATGATTTTTTAATAGAAATAAGAATGACTTTGGAGGCATTGAAATAAGAATTACTCCGTATTTCGTTATTTCAGTCTCTTTGATCTTTTCAAACACAAAAGATAAAATTTTGGGATGGTAAAATTTCCAAATTAATATTTTCAATCGCAAAAATTTAGGGCGTATTTTCTTTGCAAAAATTAAATGGGAACATCCCAATCAAAATTTTAGTTGGAAGGGTATAACTCATATAAGCATAACTTGAAAGCTTATGGGCCGCGTCAAAACACGAAAATTAATACGGCCTCCCAAATAAGAAAGTGTAGATGCGGGCCCAAGGATGAAATTTGCAAAAATGCGGTGAGCGTGGATCGAACACGCGACCTTCAGATCTTCAGTCTGACGCTCTCCCAACTGAGCTATCCCCGCCATTGACCAATTCCATTTCTTTGACAAATATAACTTAATAATTATCGTATGCTGCGAGAAGAAAACACCTTATTTCCGTACTACCCGTATATGATTCTACCAGTAATTTTTAAGAAAAGGCAGTTATATTTTATAAAGAAACTAAATTCAAACCTTTTTTTAAGAACTAAATTCAAACTTTTTCTTAAAGAACTAAATTCAAACTTTGTAATAGAGTCCATAATATTCAAAAAAATCAAACCTAATAATTCATTGTCCCAGAGATATCATCACAATTTTATTCTAGTCTTCCAATAACTTTTGTGTTTTTGTGTATATTCATTAATAATTTGATAAATAAAATATTATTGTCGCATAATGTTTTAAATACTCACTCCCTTTCTAAAATATTGTCACACTTTGACTTTTTTGGTTAAATTGTGGCATAATTTGACCATGAATTATAGAAAATGTATATTTAGTTATAATATAAATTTTATAAAATTTGGCTTATTTTAAAATATAGTTTTTAAATATCAAATTTTTATAAAATTTAATTATTTTAAACTATATTTAATTTGTAATCAAAGGTTGCCACAGTTTGACCAAAAAAGTCAAACTTTGGTAACCTTTTAGGGACAGAAGGAGTAGAACTTTTGATGTATTTTTAAAATATAAAGAGTATGGTTTGTAATTTTAATTTTTCTATCAATTGATAAATAAAATAATTTTAAAAGAAATGAGATTGTGAACATCGTTCAAAATGGGAAAATATTTTTTAGATGGAGGAAGTATAATATGATTCATCAATTCATTTTCTTGGGGTTGGTGAAAAAGTGTTGAAAATGTTATGTGCAGTTTCACATTTTTACATCCAAGATCGACCTAAAATATTATAATTGGGTGGTTTTAATTTTTTATTCTTTGTAATTCATTTTAGTTTACTTCAATTGCACTTTGTGCCTCAATAATGTAAAAGTATTAAAATTGGTTATTCCATTAAGAATTATACGCGTGTGCAATGCAAGATGTTAGAATAATAATTTTATCTTTTACAAAACGTGGGAATAAAAATTAACTTATTTTTAAAAAAGTTGACTTGAAGAAGAATCACTTTTAGAATTGAAGAAACAAATTAAGAAATGATTCATAATATAAATCTGATTTTTTAAACTGAAATCAGGAATGAAACAAAAAAAGTAGACGTGTTTTAGAACAAATTGAAGATCGATGCAAAAAGCAGACAAACAAAACAAATTATATTACTCCGTAGTTCTTAAAGAAAAAAAAAAAACTAATTACCGATGTAATCTGCAAATTAAATGAAAAATATAATAAAATACCTAAAACCAAAGTGAAGAGTGAAAAAACACAAAGCAGGCCTATATTATTACAGAGTATTTTTAAAAATGCATGCTTAATAGTACATTTAAAAAAGATTCGGCTGGCCTCCCAAAACTAATTGAATACGAGTATAAAGAAGCAAGTTAGAATTGAAAAAAAGTCAAGAAAACAAGAAAAAATGAGTCCAAAACAAAAATTAAAATATTGGCCTATTAAACGAAATATAAGAAATTGATAAATTAAAACAAATACACCTAAAATAACTGAAACATAGAATTAACAAAATCATAAACTCACCCACAAAGGCTTGAAACCTCTTCGATGCATTTGAGATTTTGAGTTTTGCTACGACAAGGTGGAGGAGCTGAAGAGGAATACAAGATACAGAGCAGATGAAAGAGGAAACGAAGAGTCAGATTGGAGATCAAAGAAAGAAGCTCAGAAGGAAGAGTCCAGAGCATGAGGGAGTGTTAGGGAGTACTTAATTGGCCTGAGATAAATAATTGGCTTAATTGGATTAAATTAAGCCCCTTAATTTTGGAGACCCTGTGCAAATGCACCTCTTGCACTCCTCATTGGGCGGGCCTGAGTTTGATAAATATTCCTTATAAAATTGTATATATAGTTAATATTGATATAAAAAACTCAGATAAAATAGAAATTTGTGTGAACTACACAAATATAGATTTTGTTTAGTAATAACGTTTTCGATTATCGTTAACGTTTTGAATAAAATCTTGATGGAGTTGATTCATTATGAAGACGCTCGGATAGCTTTTTAAAATGCTGACACTAATCCCTAATGCTTATGTAAAACGATGCCATAATCAAATACTATATGCGATGCAGATAGTCGGATAGATGCATGGAGTATATAGAGTATTTTCTTACAACTACTGTTTAGAAATTAGGTTCCACAATTAAGCAGGTTATTGCTTTCAAATAAAATGAAATAAGTTGTAATAGTTGCACATTTTATGAACTTTTTTCCCGTCAATAACAAAAAAAAAATTAAATGAACCTTTTTTTTTTGAACAAGTAAAAAGGAAATATGAAATCTTTTTATGAGAGGGATAATTAAGTAAATCTATTTTCAATTTCCTCCATATCCATATCCATATCCATACTTTATTTAAAAAGCCATGGATTTGTGAGATGGTTTTCCCGCCCATTTAGTATTGCAATAAAAATGGTAATTGTTCACTTAAAATGGTAATGACTCAATTATAATAAATAATTAAATTAAATAGTTATGTTTACACGGCCAACCTAATTATGACAATTGATGGCAATTAATGTTACACGGTTAAACAAAAATAATAATACTAACGTGATTAATTTAAATTGGAAATGATTAAAAAGGTAAGTAATTTAAATTGGTAATTAATTATCAATCCACTTTCCTTTATTATAAACTTACTTTTATTACTTTTATTTTAAACTTAATATTTTTTGGTTAACAAAACGGTAATTGATTATTACCAATTAATAAGGTCATCTCCAATGGGATGCCCAAAGGAGATGCTCAAAGGAGAGAGAAGAAGATGTTTAAAGGTGCCACTATTGGAGATGGGTGCTTAGAGGAGGTGTTCAAAGAAGAAAGAGAGTGAGAGATGCTCAAGAGAGCACCTGATGCTAGCATTCAAAATCATGTGTGCATTCTTTTATTTTTTGTAAAATAAGCTTTTTTTAATAGTACACTCTCTTTTTAATGTTGTTTTTCTTTTCATTTTTGTGTCTCTTTTTTTCCCCGGAAAAAATCTTTACCATTTTTTTTATACAAACCCATTTTCCTAAGTTTTTTTTCTTTTCTTTTTCTTAACTTGTAGTGATACCATAAAAAATTGTTAGCCTTGGTTTGCCATAAATCTGTTTGAAATAGTCTTTCATTTGATTGAGTATGATGTGCACAAAATAAATAAATAAATAAATAAATACTCCATAAAAAAATATGACACCCTATTTTATTTTTAGTAATACCACCGTGCCTTTAATTTTTTAATCAAAATTTTTTAACAATAAAAAAAGTCATTGATAATATTTTTAATTATTTACACTATTTTTTTCTTAAAAATCTTTTAATTAATAATTAATTACTCCATATTTAACACTTGTATATATAATACAAAAATCTATAATTAATAATATAAAAATGGCATTTATATGTGAATAGGATCCACCCAAGGCATCTCAATGAGATGTCACCATTAAAAGGTTTGGATGTTTAAAGAGATGCTCCAATGCTATCTTTAAAATAAAGCCCACATTTGGGCATCTAATGAGAGGTGCTACCACTGTGGATGCTCTAAGGTAAGTAGATTGGTTAAAATAAAGGTTAACAATACCGGGATTAATTATTACACGGTTAAACAATAATAATAAATAATTAGGTAAAAAAATCGGTATTAATAGAGTTCCTTCTTTAATAATAATAATAATTCCTTATTTAATAATAATAACAATAATTATGAAAAACTTACCAAACGTGATTATAAAGAAATAATAATACTAACGTGATTAATTTCAATTGGAAATGATTAAAAAGGTAAGTAATTTAAATTGGAAATTAATTATTAATCTACTTACCTTTATTGTAAACTTGCGTATATTACTTTTATTTTAAACTTACTATTTTTTGGTTAGCAAAACGATAATTGATTATTACCAATTAATAAGGTAAGTATATTGGTTAAAATAAAGGTTAAGAATCCGATAATTAATTATATAACCGTGTGACTACATAATTGTATACTCCATATTAATTATCGTGTCATTTTAATTATAGTAATTTTAATTATAGTAATTTTAAATATAATAATTTAAATAATTTAAATATAGTAATAGTAATTGTTAGGTATTTAAAGATGGTAAGAAATTAAAGTGTATGAAATTGTAGTAATATAAAATGGACTATAACTACTGTAAGAATTAAATATCCTTTAAATATATATATTTAGGTTTAATAACGAGAAAGGTAATAACCATGAAAGGTAATAATTAACTGTGATTTTTAAAGTGTCCGAAATTATACTAGCAAGAAAGGTAATAATCAAAAAAGGTAATAATTGACCTCGATATTAATTATATTAACGTGTGACTACATAATCCTTTATATATAATATTTGAGAGTTGGACTCTCAGAATTGCGACATTTGGCGTGATGACTGGAATGTTTTTTTACACCTAATCAGCCATGTCATCAAGAGAATTGAATCGAACTTTCCTTCGACTAATTTATGATATAATAAAAGAAATTATGTAACTTAATAAAATTAGTGAAACATAAATAAATATTGCATAAAATAAAAATTATTAATGGAAAAAAGAAAAGTTTCTTTTTTAACTAACAAAATTTTCAGTAAAATTTTTACCATAATATTTTGCTTGGACTCCAATTAAGCTTAAAAATTAGTCAATTGAATAAAAAGGATATTAAATCATTTTTATAGAAAACAAAAATAAATCAAAACAAACTAAAACAAATTAAAAATGAGAACTTTTAACATTTAGTAATAAAATTTTGATCTAATTATTATTATAATAACTTTATTTAATGTGAAAAATACTCCGTAACGAATAAAATTTCACATATTTCTTCAAAAATTATAATGACTACTGAACTTAAAACGAATAAAATTTTCTTTTCATTTACAACGCAACTTATAATGGTAGATAAGATACAGACTTCACCTATATATTAATTTCACATACATTTAATATAATATTTAAAAACATTTAATATAATATTTAAAAACTAGATCAAAATATTCTTTAGAAAGAAGAAAAAGTTGAACACAAATAGATGATTAGTTAATTTAAAATATATTTTTTCAGTATAAATTTTAACTTAGTGCAGATTTAAAAAAGTAAATTTTTTAAGGAAAAATGTACAATTTTAATAATGATTAGTTTATATTTAATATTACTCTCATACAAACAAAATATGTTTAAATTAGCCAAATATATAAATATAATGAACATAAAAAAATTAGGAAAAATATGCAATTTTTTTATCTTTTCCTAAATGTATAAAAATGAGACTCGGGTAATTAAGAACTGACATGTGGCTTACTCATGAGCCTCTTTTTAACACCTAATATGTCACATAGATTTTGATGTGGAAAATATGAAATTAAAAGTTTGGTAAATATTTCTGAATCTTTACATATTAAATTTGAGAGTTAATCTCCTAGAATTGCGAGAAGTGACGAATCTACATG